GCATCAGGTGACCAAAGTACTGGAGTTTCAGCTTTAACATCAGTCCTTCCAATGAACATCCAGGACTGATCTCCTTTAGGATGAACTGGTTGGATCTCCTTGCGATCCAAGAGACTCTCAAGAGTCTTCTCCAACCCCACAGTTCAAAAGCATCAATTCTTCGGCACTCAGCTTTCTTCACAGTCCAACTCTCACATCCATACATGACCACTGGAAAAACCATAACCTTGACTAGATGGACCTTTGTTGGCAAAGTAATGTCTCTACTTTTTAATATGCTGCCTAGGTTGGTCATAACTTTCCTTCCAAGAATTAAGCGTCTTTTAATTTCATGGCTACAATCACCATCTGTGGTGATTTTGGAGCCCAGAAAAATAAAGTCAGCCACTGTTTCCACTGTTTCCCCATCTATTTGCCATGAAGTGATGGGACTGGATGCCATGATCTTCGTTTTCTGAATGTTGAGCTTTAAGCCAACTTTTTCATTCTCCTCTTTCACTTTCATCAAGAGGCTCTTTAGTTCTTCTTCACTTTCTGCCATAAGGGTAGTGTCATCTGCATATCTGAGGTTATTGATATTTCTCCCGGCAATCTTGATTCCAGCTTGATCCAGCCCAACGTTTCTCATGATGTACTCTGCATATAAGTTAAATAAGCAGGGTGACAATACACAGCCTTGACGTACTCCTTTTCCTATTTGGAACCAGTCTGTAGTTCCATGTCCAGTTCTAAGTGTTGCTTACTGACCTGCATCCAGGTTTCTCAAGAGGTCAGGTGGTCTGGTATTTTCCATCTCTTTCAGAATTTTCCACAGTTTATTGTGATCCACACAGTCAAAGGCTTTGGCATAGTCAATAAAGCAGAAATAGATGTTTTTCTGAAACTCTCTTGCTTTTTTGATGATCCAGCAGATGTTGGCAATTTGATCTCTGGTTCCTCTGCCTTTTCTAAAACCAGCTTGAACATATTAGGATTTGTTAGTGGCCTATTCTGTTATTCCTGTCAGTTGTTGTTATTTACTCGCTAAGTTGTGTCTGACTCTTTTGCAACCCCATGGACTGTAGAGGGCCAGTCTCCTCTATTCATGAGATTTCTTAGGTAAGAATACTGGAGTTGGTTGCCATTTCCTTGTTCATGAGTTCTTCCCAAGTCAAGGATTGAACCCACATCTCTTACATTGGTAGGCAGATGTTTTTATCATTGAGCCACCAGGGAAGCATTCCTGTCAGTATTTCTATTTAATTTAGGGACTAATATCCTTAAATAAAGCCAACAATAGTGAAAATGATGTGAAGTGACTAGGCTGCTTTTTTGTTTTTTTGCGTTATTGTTGTTCAGTCTCAAGTTGTGTCCGACTCTTTGTGACCCCGTGGTTTGCAGCACACCAGGCTCCCCTGTGCTTCACTATTTCTTGAAGTTTGCTCAAATTCCTATCCATTGAGTCAGTGATGCTATCTAACCATCTCATTCTCTGCCACCCCCTTCTCCTTCTGCCCTCAATCTTTCCCAGCATCAGGGTGTTTTCCAATGAATGGGCTCTTCAATATCAGGTGGTCAAAGTATTAGAGCTTCAGCTTCAGCATCAGTCCTTTCAATGAATATTCACTGTTGATTTCCTTTAGGATTGACTGGTTTTATCTCCTTACAGTCCAAGGGACTCTCAAGAGTCTTCTCGAGTGTAATTTGAAAGCATCAGATCTTTGGCACTAAACCTTACTTCTGATCTAACTCTCACATCCATATGTGACTACTGGAAAAACCATAGCTTTGACTACATGGACCTTTGTCGGCAAAGTGATATCTCTGTTTTTAATATGCTGTCTACATTTGTCATAGCTTTCCTTCCAAGGAACAAGTGCCTTTTAATTTCATGACTACAGTTACTGTCCACAGTGATTTTGGAGCCAAAGAAAATAAAATACGTCACTGTTTCCACCATTCCCTTTCTATTTGCCATGAAGTGATGGGACTGGATGCCATGATGTTAGATTTTTGAATGTTGAGTTTTAAGCCAGCTTTTTCACTTGCCTCTCCTCTTTCGCCCTTATTGAGAGGCACTTTAGTTCATCTTCACTCTCCGCCATGAGTGGTATTATCTGCATATCTGACGTTGTTGATATTTTTCCTGGCAATCTTGATTCCAGCTTGTGAGTCTGGCATGCTGTACTCTGCGTAGAAGTAAATAAGCAGGGTGACAATCAACCTTGATGTACTTGTTTCCCATTTTGGAACCAGTCCATTGTTCCATGTCTGGTTCTCACTGTTACTTCTTGACCTGCATATAGATTTCTCAGAAGACAGGTAAGATAGTCTGGTATTCCTATCTCTTTAAGAATTCTACAGTTTGTTGTGATCCACACAGTTAAAAGTTTCAGTGTAGTCAATAAAGCAGTAGATGTTTTTCTGGAATTCCCTTGTGTTCTCAATGATCCAACAAATGTTGCCAATTTAATCTTTGGTTTCTCTGTCTTTTCTAAACCCAGCTTGTACATCTTGAAGTTCTTAGTTCACATGCTCCTGAAGCTTAGCTTGAAGGATTTTGAGCATAACCTTGCTAGCATGTAAAATGAGTGCAATTGTATAATAGTTTGAACATTCTTTGTTATTGCCCTTCTTTGGGACTGGAATGAAAACTGACCTTTTCCAGTCTTGTGGCCACTGCTGAGTTTTCCAGATTTGCTGGCATATTGAGTGAAGCATTTTAACAGAATCATCTTTTAGGAATTGAAATAGCTCAGCTGGAATCCCATCACCTCTACTAGCTTTGTTTGTAGTAATGCTTCTTAAGGCCCAGTTAACTTCACACTCCAGGTTGTCTGGCTCTAGGTGAGTGACTACACCATCATGATTATCTGGGTCATTAAGACCTTTTTTTGTTTAGTTATTCTGTGTATTCTCACCACCTCTTCTTAACCTCTTCTGCTTCTATTAGGTCCCTGCCATTTCTGTCCTTTATCATGCCTATCCTTGCATGAAATGCTCCCTTGTTGTCTCCATGTTTTCTGAAGAGATCTCTAGTCTTTCTCATTCTATTTTCCTATATTTCATTGCATTATTTGTTTAAGAAGGGCTTCTTATCTCTCCTTGCTATTCTCTGAAACTCTGCATTTAGTTGGGTATATCTTTCCCTTTTTCACTTGCTTTTTGCTTCTCTTCTTTAACTCATTTCTTTTAGCTCATTTCATGTAGGTGACAGCCCGCTTCATCTATTAATTAGAGTAGCTCTGATTATGTCTTATTTTTCTCTTCTAGCATGTGGTACTTAGCATGAATTTCCCTAAACAGAATCATAGAGGTTTGTATTCAAAGGGATCTTAGAGATTATCTGCACCAGAGGCTTTCAGCTTTTTTCTTTTTCTTTTTAAAGCAGCAAAATTCTTTTCTCAAATGAAATGTTATGTGGAAACTTAATATATAGATTAATAAAGCACAGCTGATTCCTAAGCCTAGCAATCCAAGCCATGTAGGTCTCCCTTTGTTGTCTGTGGCAATCTCCTGAAGGCACTTCCTTGGAACCCTTAGGGCTCCCTAGAGTGCTGTTTTAAAAGCACTAATTTACAGCAACCCTTTCATTTTTCCAGCTGAGGAAATACGCTCAGTTTGTGTTTTATCCAATGTTACAGGGTAAATTAGTTGGATTAAGAACAGTCCTTACATGTGCCATTCTTAGGAAAACACTGTTAGACAAGGCTGGAAGTTCTTGTTTCTGATGCAGATAACTTACTATCACATTTATTTTAATCAGCTATTTTTTTTTTTTTTTTGCTATATATACTACATATGGAACACTTTCTTTGCCTGTAACTGATACAAGAAACCCTTTTCCAGCATTTAATAGATGGGGATTGGAGAGATAAGAAGTGTCCCAATCTCTGTTTAAGAGAGCACATAGTATGCTTGGGAAAAGAAAACATGCAGTTGAAAAGTTAAAAATTGATTCAAGACTTGAGATGTAGCAATGCAGTGTTGAATTAATTAAGCATAAATGATACCAACAGTAAGCTCTCTTGGAGTTCAGAAGAGTGAAGCTACTCCAGTTGGGCTCAAAGACGTTTTAAAGAAAAATGATGACTGAGCTAAGTAGGACTTGACTAAGTAAACAGATGTAAGTCAATATAATATTGCAAATAAGAGCAGAGCTTTGTGTGACTGCCAGCTCCTTCACTTACCTCTGTCTAATATTGGACAGGTTCTTAACCTCTGAACCTAGTACTTCATCTGCAAAATGGAGATGTATGGCATGTATATGAATTAAGGACATATATATTGGTGTAACATAGAGCTTTAAATATGGGAAGTTTATCACAATAAAAGTTTATTTCTCCCGTATATGTGTCTAGACTGGACAGCTTTCCATGAGGTGTCTTAGGGACCCAAGTTCTTTTTTGGCTTCCACTTTTCCTAGGTTTTCTCTTAGAAAGAGTGGAGAATTCCAGTGGAGACGCTCATAGGGGCTTGGCCTGAAAGTCATATATGCTCTGCCTATTTTCTATTGGTCACAATTCGACTATAAAGCACAATTCGACTATAAAGCACAATTCGACGTACCTAAGCACATATGATTTAGTTAAGTTGTGTGCACAATTTGGAAAGGAAATTAGTCTTAGTGAATATATAAAGCCGGAGAAGGTAATGGCAACTCACTCCACTATTCTTGAGTGGAAAATCCCATGGACAAGGAGCCTAGCAGGCTGTAGTCCATGGGGTTGCAAAGAGTCAGACACAACTGAGTGACTGAGCATGCACCACACGAACATACAGAGATCTCTACTATCTCACTTTGTTATTGGGAAGATTGGAGGAAATAATTTATGTTTTATGCTTAGTACAAGGCAAAGCATGTAAAGGTATTTAAGCATCCTTTTTAAAGAATAGCAAAATACATGTGTTTTAGCCTCCTTTTTGGAGAGTTATCACCTTATTTTTGACTCTTGGCAGTAGTAGTAATTAATATTTAAAATGATTCTTCTTCTTAAATTCTTTGCTTCTTTTTCTTTTAGCATGGTGTTATTGCTACAGAAGATGAAGAATATTTTATTGAACCATTAAAGAATACCACAGCAGATTCCAAACATTTTAGTTATGAAAATGGCCATCCTCATGTCATTTACAAGAAGTCTACCCTTCAGCAAAGGCATCTATATGATCACTCTCATTGTGGGGTCTCGGGTGAGTGTGTGGCTTTTAGAAAGTATAGTCTTGTATTGCCACTTTCTTCTGGCACATATGGTAAGATTAATAATAAAAGATAAATAGGAATTTGAGTAGTTAGAATGATAATATCCAGAGTTTACTTAAAAGATGTCGCCTGTCAATAATTTCAAGTCAATTTTGGAAGCTTTTTAAGAAGCCTGTAAAATACAAGTCTCTGTAAAAGTTGGTATTTTTTTTCTCTGAAAGTGTTAGTTGCTCAGTCATGTCCATCTCTTTGCAACCCCGTGGACTGTAGCCCATCAGGCTTCTCTGTCCATGGAATTCTCCAGGGAAGAGCACTGGAGCGAGTAGCCATTCCCTTCTCCAGGGGATCTTCCCGACCCAGGGATGGAACGCTGCATTGCAGGCAGATTCTTAACTGTCTGAGCCACTAGGGAAACCTGTTTCTTTGAAGGGGAAACCTTATTTTATCCAGGTAATAGTTACAGCTGTCATGCACAGGTGTTCTGTAGTACTCTTTGCTGTTTGGTTTGCCTGATATAAGAATCTAAACACTTGAATAAAACTTGAAGAGTCTTAAAGGTAGTATTCAAAAATAGTGTTAGTTCAGGTACTATGGAGATACATAAGAGAGACAACAAACCTAGACTTCAGTGGTTAAAGAAGGCTTCACGGGGGAAGTGAATTTTAAGCTGAGGGAGTAATGGGTAGAGTGTTCCATATAAAAGGAATAACATTTACAAAGGTTGTAAACCAAAAGAGAAAACATCACATTCCTGAAACTGACAGTTGATATAACTGGATATTAGAATATGGATTGGAGAGAAGGGGTGAGATTCATAGTGGTTTGGGGTGAGTGCTTGTGAGAGGTGAAACTGTAAAGAAGTGGCCTGGTCACAAAAGGCTTGTAAACTTTGTTGAAGAGTTTGTTTATCTTAGGAGAAGGCAATGACACCCCACTCCAGTACTCTTACCTGGAAAATCCCATGGACGGAGGAGCCTGGTAGGCTGCAGTCCATGGGGTTGCGAAGAGTCCGGACACGACTGAGCGACTTCACTTTCACTTTTCACTTTTATGCATTGGAGAAGGAAATGGCAACCCACTCCAGTGTACTTGCCTGGAGAATCCCAGGGATGGGGTCGCACAGAAGGACACGACTGAAGTGGCTTAGCAGTAGCACTTGTTTATCTTAAGTGTACTGCTATCCCACTGAAAGGTTTTATGCAGTGAAAATGAGATGATTAGATTTGGGTTTTAAAAAGCTTACTCTGGCAGCCTTATGGAGACTGAATTGGGCAGAAGAGAAAGACTAGAGGTAAGGGGCTAGGAGGCTATTTAGTCTAAAGATTAGGAACTTGGAGAAATAGAGGATATAGCATACTATAGTAGAAAGAACATGGGCTGTGGCATATTTGTGGACAAATTACCCAACCCTCTGAGTACTCCTCTCAGCAAACATTAGTTACTCAGTCCAGTAGCAGCAGCCATCATTATTACTGGGATGACCTTTGAGACACTATATTTAAAAAAAGAGTAGATTTGTTCCATGTATACAGTTCTGGTAGCTGGAAGTAGGAGCAGAGTATTTCAGAGACAGCTTTCAGCTTAATACAAAGAAGAATTCACCAACCAGTAACAGGTAGATCTGTAAAAGTGGAATAGTTTACCTTGCGAGTTAGTGAATGCATCATCCTCTGTTTCTTTTTGTATCCTTCATAGGCTTTTTTTCTTCTGCTTCAAGTACAAGTTTTCTTTGGAATTCTTTCCTCAGCTTACTGTTCTTGTTCTCCATACTCTCTTCCTGAGTAATTTCTGAGGCTTTTAATTGTGGGAGATTCTTATTGGTCAAGAATAATTGGTCCTAAAAAAGATCACTTAAAGTGAATCTACCTGAGAGATGAAATACAACATCATAGTAAATAATGAAAAAAAGTTTGATTTGTCTTTGGATTGAATAATGAAACTAAACAGTATGGGAATCATTTATTTATCTTATAGTTAACAAAATTTAGGGTTTAAGTGACAACCTTATATAAATTCTTTAAAAAGCAGGATTCACATATTTAGCTGTTTATTGTGATATAACTTTCCCACCATTTTTTCCTTAACATGACATTCTCCACATCATGATTGTAAAGATCACCTTTGCAAAAACATTTAAAAATTTCATATTCTGAAAAGTATCTCTTAACTATCTGAGATTCAAATTATCGACTTTTGCAGTGCCTATTTTGTTAATAATTGACGTTTATTTTTCAATGGTTGAGACATGAATCAGGCAATTCTATTTTTATTATCATAAAATTCTGTCCTCTTGGGAGAAGATTTTTATATTCTACAATCTCTTTCCCTAGATTATGGAAATTGTTTCCCAAATGGTCTTTGCTTTTAAATGCATCCTTTCATTAGCCGTTTCTGCTACCTCTAACACTGGTCCATGTAGCTTGAACCCTCATTATCTCTTGCTTAGACCATTGTCATGTGTTTCTATCTAGTCTTTCTATCTCCAGGTTTGTCCATTTCTGTCTTTTGTCAGGTTTGTCTCCTAATTCTGGCTTACACACCTTCCCACTGGCATCCCAATAGTGGGAATATAGTAGTAGTAGTAGTTCCCTAAATTCCATGGATATGTCACTAGATATTATTGGGGAAAAAAGCATTTTGCATTTAATAGGTTTGAGAAATGTCTGGTTAAGAACTACTGATGTTAATTTTAATACTAGTTCAATGGTATAGTTCAGTAAAGTGAGATGTGCATTTACAGGTATACACTGCCTGTTATCAGGAATTCAAGTTTATATTAAAATATATAAAAACTGTTGACAGTGGGTATATTTATCTCAAATTAAAATATGGATTTTCCCATTCTAGTTAGATTTAAGCTGTTGATTAAAAAACTTTTTATGGAGCTCAAAGTGAGTCTTTCAGGTCAGGTCCCGCTCCCTGCGCTTAGTCACCATGCCTTACCAAATTTAGGAAATCAAGGACTTTCTGCTCACAGCCAGGTGAAGGGACACCAGATCTGTCAAGATCAAGAAAAATAAGGATAATGCAAAGTTTAAAGTTCCATGCAGCAGATACCTTTATACCTTCATCTTCTCAGACAAAGAGAAGGAAAAGAAGCAGTCCTTGCCCCTAGGTTTGACAGTGAAGGAGCTAAAATGAACCACACAAATTAATTTGAACTGTATTAAATTTTTAAAAATTAAAAAGAAAACTTTTTGTGAAAGAAATGTCTGTTCTTTGTAGAAATTTAGAAAATACAGGGTGAAAAGAAAAAAAAGAAGTTGCTCTTAATACCACTACCCAGAGATAACTGAATGCTTTTATAGTCTGTTCATACAGATATGTCTTTATACCTGCATTATCTACTAATATATATTAAGTAAATACTCATTTGTCATGCATGCACAAGACTATTCTCAGTGCTGGGATGCAGCAACAAATAAAGCAGAAAAAGTTCGTGCTTCCTGGAATCTTATATTCTAGTGAGGAGAGTGTTACTCAGTTGTGTCCGACTCTTTGCCACTCCATGGACTATAGCCCACCAGGCTCTTTGTCCATGTAATTCTCCAGGCAAGAATACCAGAGTGGGTTGCCATTTCCTTCTCCAGAGGATCTTCCCCACCCAGGATTCAAAACTAGGTCTCCTGCATTGCAGGCAGACTCTTTACCGTCTGAGCCACAAGGGAAGCCCAGTGAGGAGAGACAGTTACTAAATATGCATTTAAATAAACAAATAACTACGTGGCCAACTGTCAAGAAGTAGTAATGAAAAATAAAGCAGATCAATGAGATAATTTTGCATGGCTGTATATATTAAAAATGTTTTGATATTGATCAAAAACTTAAAATTCTACTTTAGATAACGAAGAGAGCTATGTATTTGGCTTTGGGGGTAAAGTTCTTCATTGTACAATATATGTTTGTGGAAGAATGTTTTCTTTAACATTCTATACTCAATCCAGGATTGAGTGTAATCCAGGATTACACTGAGCAAGCCACATGTAATGAATATCATTTGAAAAACTACTTATCTCTGTTTTGAAACAAAACAAGTCAGTTGTGTATTCTACTTCACACTAAAAAGGATGTTGATTACAAATCATTTAACTTAATGTTAAGCAGTTAGTTTACAATTGTAAAATGTAGATAATGTTTTGTAATGATCTAATCACATGGGAGAGATTTTAATTAATCTTTAAATTTTATTCATTCAGAATACATGCATTGTTTATTACATATATTTATCAGACTACAAGTCTTTTAAGGGTTACATTTTTTCATTTATGAATGTCCATCAAGGACATTGTGAATATATATTTCTGATGGAGCAGTAGCCAAGCAAACTAACATTTAAAAGCCCTAAAAGTTGAAAGTTGTGAAAATGGCAATAACAAAAGTTACCTTATGCTAAACGCTATAAAATGAGAAACACTGTTGCTAATGTTTATTTTGCCCAATTATGTCTAATTCTTTATATAATACTTTAAATGAAAATAAGGAGAAATTGAATGAGAAGTGAAAATGATAAAAACAATGGAAATTCTGTCCTGTGTTTAGACCTGTAAGCTGTCCAGCCAGAGGAAGAAGAAAACTAAGCATGATTTGAATGCATGAGTGGTTTCATGATCACAAAAGACTGAGCAAGAGAAATTGGGAGTAATATTAATGCAGAAAAGATTTTGGCTGTCTCATATCGATATTACCACAAACCCAATGGCTTAAGCAATATACTTTTATTATCTTGCGTTTTCTGTGGACCAGAAGTTTGTGTATGGATAGGTTATTTATTTAGCCTCAACCAGGCCTGGGTTCTCATCCAGAGTTTTTACTGGGGAAGAATTCACTTCCTCACTCCCATAGTTGTTGGCAGCATTCAGTTTCTTGCTGTTATATGACTGAAAGCTTTAGTTTTGGCTTATTGTCTGCCAGAGTCCACCTGCAGTGCCTCAGCATGTACAGTTTACCAACTTGGTTGGTTCCTTCCTGTAAGTCAGCAAGGGAACAACTGTAGTAAGAGAGATGCTACAATATTATATAACGTAGATATGTAGGCATATACACATAATCATGTACATCTTATCATTTTTCCTGTTTTCTGTTAGAAGCTAGTCACAGTTCCAGCTCATACTCAAGGGAGGAGATAAGGACACAGGCGGTTATGGGAACTACCTTAAGAGTGTCTGCCACAATGTACATAGAGGAATACTTACTGACTGTCTTGGGTATATGCTGTTGAATTAAGAAGTAGAATGTTTCTGTCTTTCTTGACCTTTAGGAATAGATACTCATTTAATTTATTTGAGTTTCAAAGTATTTGACTGATACTTCCTGTGGTTATTTCTCTTATTTCTTAAAATTTATAACTTCTCTCAAAGTCATTTTTAAAAAGGAAAAGCTGAAAAGAGAGTAATGCCACTACTTTTTATCAAGTAGATTACTCTAATTTTTCCTCACTAAATTTTTCGATAAGTGATGGTTAGAAAGATTTCCTGTTCAGTCTGAGGACCCAAAAGTGGGGTATATAGGGACTTCCCTGGTGGTCCAGCTGTTAAGAATCTGCATTTCTAAGGCAGGGGACACAGGTTTAATCCCTGGTCGGGGGAACTAAGATTTCACATGCTGTGAGGCAACTAAACCTACAAGCCTCAGTGAAGACCCTGCACAGCCAAAATAATAATAATAAAAAAGAATGAATCTATAGTTAAAAATCTTCCCTTAAAAGAAAAAGAAAATGTGTACAAAGGATCTGTACTTGCTCAAGTTTACTAAATGAAGATGAATATAAGTTAGCAAGTGTTTACAAATGCCATAGTACTAAAAGGCCTCTGTGCTGAAGGACCAAATATCTAGAAATCAAAAGAAAAGCTACAATCCACACTGAAATCTGGTTCAAAGTGAGTCATGTTGGAATCATTGTCTTTCAACTCTGATTCTAATCCCATTTACCTCTAGAGTTTGGAAAAGGAATATATTGGATACTTTGTCAGGATGAAGAGTTCTAGACTGTGAAACTAAATGAAAAAGATAATTATCTTTTTTGAACTGAGATTTCTAGAGCATTTGTTGTTGTTCAGTCACTAAGTCATGTCTGTCTCTTTGCGACCCCATGAACTGTAGGACAGGTTTCCCTGTCCTTCACTATCTCCCAGTTTGCTCAAACTCATATCCATTGAGTCAGGGTCTTTATCTAAAGCATTAAAATTGCTCTATTTAAAATAGTTTAATAAAAGCATCTTATTTTAAAATAAATGCTTGCAGAGCATCTTAGGAATAGATTTTTGCAATATTAATATTCTTCATCAGAACTGTCTTAGGCTGTTTAGAAAGTTAATGCTTAATAGTTGCTTTTTAAACAACTTGAAATGATGTTTTAAAGTATAGATTTAAAATTTAAAAGTATTATGACATAATCACTCACTGGAAAAATATGAACTGATTATTTGAAGATTCCTTTTTTAAAGTTAACTATTAGATTTATTTTGTTTTCATGAACAGTTTAATGTTATTAATTTTTTCAGATAAGATTATTTTGAAAAATTTCAAGAGTTTAATTTTTTCACTGCTGCATTTCCTCATCCCCTTCCCTCACTTTGAAAAATCTTAATATGTTAGAGAATTTGAGAAGCATGTCTGCATGAAAGTTCTATGAATAAGTAGGTTAAATTAGTTAACCTATGTGAACTATGTAATTGTTTTTATTGTAGACCTCCTAAGAAGTGGCAAACCTTGGTGGTTGAATGAGACATCTGCTTTTCCTTCTTCACTACCAAATAATGGCACACATATCCACCAGAGACAGAAGAGATCAGTAAGCATTGAGCGGTTTGTGGAGACCCTAGTAGTGGCAGACAAAATGATGGTGGGCTACCATGGCCGCAAAGACATTGAACATTACATTTTGAGTGTGATGAATATTGTAAGTTTGATCCCTCTATATAATTTTTTAACTTAATAATTTGTTGTGATTTTTGACTAAGGTCATGGATTTTTATTGTGAAATAATTTTAAGAACTAGCTCATCGAAAGTTAGAATTTATCTATTAGTGTTTCAGTTCTACAGAAGATGAATTTAAAGGTTATTTTATTATTCATTTAGATTGACTCACCCTCTTAGTTACTATGTTGTAGTTCATCTTTAGAAGAAAATTTTTCTTGAAGTAGATTTGTATAACAAACCTTTTACTAAGATGTCTTGAGGGTAGAGTTCTAAGTGATATGAGATAAAAGAATACCTTTTTATACACACAGTGGTTAATTTGATGAAAAATTGTTCTACCACTCTAAAAAAATTGAACAATCACTTTGTGATTTTTGTCTGACTTTGTGTCTTTTCTTATTTTCTGGAGGTCAGGTTGCCAAACTTTACCGTGATTCCAGCCTAGGAAACGTTGTGAATATTATAGTGGCCCGTTTAATTGTTCTCACGGAAGATCAGGTAAGAATGAGTTTATAAGTCTAAAACTCTTAACAGACAGACTGTAGAAATATTAAAAAGTATATTTTATTGTTGCTATTCTAAGAAAGTACTAGCTGAATATGACTTTCAGCTCTAAGCACTTAATATTTTAAGCAAATTTGAAATAGTTTACAAGAATATATCTCGTATGTACAAAATGTATATATGTGTGTGTTAGCTATATGTTTCAGTATAAAGATGTGCATTTGTATGGCAGACCTTGTAACAGTGGTTTTGGTTGGTTTTGTAGGCTGATAATCACATATATTCACATTATCTTTAAAGTTGAAACTGGAAAGAATATCTGTTCAATAATACACTAAATTAATTCTAGGCCAGATATGAAAGAGATGAAAATTGGCAAGAGGTTATTCCTAGAAACCACTATGTCTAATTATAGTCCCACTTTAGTCTTCAAAAGTTTTAACAACTGACCTTAGTAATTTGTTTGGAACATTTCTGGTATGCATGTTGTATTGCAGCCAAACTTGGAGATAAACCACCATGCAGACAAGTCCCTCGATAGCTTCTGTAAATGGCAGAAATCCATTCTCTCCCACCAAAGTGATGGAAACACCATTCCAGAAAATGGGATTGCCCACCACGATAATGCAGTTCTTATTACTAGGTATGGTTTGTTGAAAGTATTTTACCTTTGATTGTTGTGTTTGATATTGTAACTATATTTGGTTCTGTCTAAAGCCTCATTCAGGTAATGAGTGTAGAGAAAGCAAAATGGTACTTTATTATTCACCACTGAGAAAGAATATATTACACTGTTATTGTGTTTGCATTGAATGAACCAAATAAGAGAAAAGAAAAGATTTAGAGTTAACTTAGAAATTTAGTAAATATCTTTCTTCTATTAAGGTCTGTTCATAAAGTTTAACTGGAAACACATACATGTTTTGTTGATTGAACAAAATATTTGTTAAAGCAAGATTGAAAAGTATGAGAAAAATCTGTCTTAAACATAAATGTGGGCTATTACTCTTGTTTATAAAATATATTAATTATTCTTACCTCCAAATTGTTAAAAGGGAAGACTTCAGTAGTTACACAGTATATTTAGATGAATGCTTATTTAATTAAACATTTTAATTAAGAGATACATAAAGAGGCATATTTGCTACACTGTATGTTGACTAGCTTGTCTTTCAGGCAGAATTATTACTTGATGATAACTCAATGAATTCATATATTTCTTTCCAGTTTTATAAACCTATATTCAGATCTACATTATTTCTTAGTCTTCAACAAAAACTCTGTGAAGTAGATATTGTTATTATTTTTCTCATGTAAGAAATGAGGTAACCAGTTCAAAATATTTAAGTAAAAGAGAAGGGCTCAAGTCCAGGCTGTCTGTCTTAGTTTTGTAATACTTTGATTATGGTTGGTTAGAACCATACTTAAATCAACTAAAGATGCTTTTCTTTTGATCTCTTATTAGTATTTAAAAATGAAAATAAAATAAGTTATAACAAATAGACAATTAAGCAAAATGAAAGCATTATTTTATCTTTGCAAGTGGATTACTTTTTTTTTAATTTGCAAGGCCATATTTAACATCAGCATCATCTATGGTATACCCAGTGACTCCACGTTAGACTCTCTAGAGGGGGAGTAAAAAGTATGTAGGATCAGAACTGTGAGGCCCAGTGTGATAATGTGACTTTAGTTTTTTGAAAAATATTCCTGTTAATAGAGTTGTCAAGTTTCTGATTTCACCTTTATTTATGATTACAATCGACTTCATCTACCTCACATTGTAAACCAAAAAAAATTTTTATGACATGCTTGCTGAATAAAACCAAAGTTCTGTGTTCATGTATGTTGACTCATCAGGCTGATAAATTCTTCAATTCTTCAGAGTCTTATGGTCTGGTGTGATTCCCAAATATATTTGAGGAGTTAAAAATATACTAGGAATTGTGCAAATATAGAAACTTTTATATAAAGGTATATATGATATGATTGGTTTCTATGAAATTACTAGAGGAATATATTTATTATATATGTTTAGCAGAATGATCACAGATACTTGCATTGGTATCTGTAATCATAGTACTTATATTTATAAACGCTACCTCTCCCCAAAAGGTTCCTGATGATTCATATTTTTGCTATTGTATCTGCACTGGATTTTCAACATTTTAAAAAATCTATTTATTTATTTACTTTACTGTGCCATATCGCATGGCTTGCAGGATCTTAGTTCCCCTTCCAGAGGGTTGAACCTTGGCCCCTCCACAGTGAAAGGACAAAGTCCTAACCACTGGACTGCCAAGGAATTCTTGGATTTTTAACTTTTCCATCAAATGACAGGAGTTATACTAAGAGTGCAAAATTATAAGTATTCAAGTAGGGAAATACATCTGGGCAGTTAGCCACCCTATCTTTACACTGGCTACAGCATTCAATTGTCTGACTTTTTACTCTGAATTGGCCCGGATATTTTTGCGATCCTCTGTAGAACTCTTCTTTGCTTCTATAAGCTACTTTGAGTGCCTGTTTGATGTCTGAGATTTGAACACAAAATTTTCTTTTAAAATTTTCCTCCTAATGTTCAGAAAGCACTAGAAATGATCTCAGGACTTAAAGGTCAATACTACAAAGAATTCGTATATCATATAATTTTAGATTGGTTTTATAATGGAGGTTAGGAAAATGCCCTTTAGGACTGCATAGAATACCTTTTTGATTGTTACTAAAGTCTCAAAATAACTTTCACCTTAATTAAAATCTGTAATTATCTTTATTAGGGCCACAGAATGGCTTATATAAATGAGTTTCTGAATATTATTTAGATTTTTAATGGTTGGAAGTTTTACCAGTTCTTGACTCTCTGTTGTATATTTTTGATTTGAGAAATTGAATATATGCTTATATCATAGTGCCACTTCTAATAAAAGTAATTATGACACTTACCTAGATGATTTTATATTAACTTTGAAAATTGCTTCATGTAACTCATTTGTTGACATGTTCAAGATTGTGACTCCACCATTTGGAGGTAAGATCGTGATTTATGCTTGTTTGAAATGTCAGCTCACTAGGGAGAGTGTATAATGTGTTCATCGAGAGTTCCAGAGGAAAAAACTCAAAATGTTATCTCCTCTTATCAAATGATCTTTTATTGATATAAATTTAAAACAAGCCACTGTACAAAGCTATCAGACTACCTTAAGTAGACAGAAAGAAAATAAAGAAAATTAAAAAATAAAATTTTGCTGTTTTATCTGGTATCAGCAGTATTGAATTAACACTAAAGAGCATATTAAAAATGATTAATATATACATATATTTTAAAATGTTTATATACTTTTTTTGTGTGTAAGCATATATGTATATATAATATATAGTGAAATTTGTTATACCTCAACTAGCTTTAGCTAACTTTTTTTTAAAACCTGAAGCTGAGAATTCCTTGGCAGTCCAGTGATTAGTGGGGCTTCCCAGATAATACTAGTGGTAAAGAACCTGTCTGCCAGTGTAGGAGATGTGGGTTTGATCCATGGGTTGGGAAGATCCCCTGGAGGAGGGCATGGCAACCCACTCCAGTATTCTTGCCTAGAGAATCCCATGTATAGGTCACAAAGAGTCAGACATGACTGAGGCAACTTAGCATGCATGCACCAGTGGTTAGGTTTTGGTCTTTTCACTGGGAGAGGCTTGGTTCAATCCCTGGTGAAGGAACTAAGATTCCACAAGGCGTGTAGCATGTCCAAAATGAACAAGAAAAACTGAAGTATAACTAACAAGCAAAATTATGTATATTTAAAGTGTACAATGTGATGATTTGATATACATATACATTATGAGCTGATATACATATTTGTGGATATATATGTATATATCCATTGTTGAAAGTGAAATATTAAAATTCCTACTAGTATTGCATTGCATCCTATTTCTGCCTTCTGATCTTCCAATATTTGCTTAATATGTTAAGGTGCTCTGATTTTGAAGTACGTATATATTTTCAGTTAAATACTCTTGATGAATTGATCCCTTTATCATTATATCATGACCTTCTTTGTCTCTTTTTCAGCTTTTGACTTAAAAAGTCTGTTTTGTCTAATATAAGTTTATCTTTTCTCTGTACATGAAATACCTTTTATATGTTTTTCCCTCCCTCCACTTTCAGTCTGTATGTATCCTTAGAGCTAAATCATTTCTAGCTCTGGAGAAGGTCCAGCAGTATAGTCTTCATGCAGCTTTATCAGTTGCAGTTAGCATTGGTGAAGATTTCAGGGGTCCGCAATGGTCAAGACCCCTGCAGCAGCAGCAAAGGCTGCTGGAGACCAGCTGATCTCTTTTTCTCTCACAAGGGATATCACTGTGCAAGGGATTCCTCTTGGTGTTGGGTCTGGCTTGGAAGAGTTGGTGTCCGATGTGTGGGCACCTGTGGAGCAGTCATGGAGCTGGGGACTGGAATGCTGGTGCTTGCAGAGTGACAGCGGCTCTGGGGTTGGTGTGCTGGCTGTACCACAGCAGCAGTGATGTATGAGTTGCAGATATGTGTGAATTAGCCATGTAGATGGAGTCTGAAGCATGGCACTTAGAGAGCAATGGTGGCATTTGGGTCCAGGTGCTAGCTAGCTGGAAGTGACAGTGCCTCCAAGTCTTGAGATGTGGTCATGTGTGGACCTGTGACAGAGCTGGAGTCTGGTGCATGGCTGCCACAAAGTGGCCCTAGATCCAGGTCTGGCATGTGGGAACAAGGGGAGCAACTATGACTCTGTAGTGTCCGGGATGTGCTCAGGGTCGGGGAGTGCTGGAAGTTCTTTTCCCAGGCCAGCATAATAGTGGCTCTTTTTTGGGGTAAGCACAGTGACATCTTCTTCCCCAAGATCTGTGACAGCAATAACTTAATTACTTGGGTGGTAAAAACTGCCAGTCTCCTCGGGAGCAGCTGTTGGGAGGGCTCCTCAGTCTTGTGCCTGATAGTTTCCACCTTTCCTGTTTGTTCCTAGTTGCCTTTAGACATCTTCAGTAAGCTGATCTCCCCAGGGATCCTTTCTGTGCAGTTACCCTTTATTTTTTGCCCTATTATGTTACTGTAGTTTCTTAATTAGACTTAATTAGACTCAAGCCCTTTCAGGACCATTTTCATTTGTGGATTGCTATCTAATTGTCTTCTGTTGGGTGATGGAGGTTGATATTTCCTACTTCACCATCTTGCTGATATTACTCTCCTTGCTTTATTCAATCTTAACATTATGTCCCATCAAAGAGCAGTTTCATGTCACTTTCTGAACTGATATACCTGCGTTGATCACTTCTCTATGGTATATCAACTACCTGACATTATAGTTTTGAATACCAGAGAAAGTGCTGTAATGTATAAATTTGTCAAAATATGACCCTGTGATGCTTTTTTGAATAATGGTGCATTATTGAAACTTATCTTCCATTTTTGTGATCTGTTTATAGTTAAAATAGTAGTAACTTACATTGCTTGCTTCTATAGGATAAATCTGTTTGGATTATCTCACAGTTATTAGTGCTCATCTAAATCAACTTGACATTTATTAACTCTTTCAAAATAATGGAGTATGACATGATATAATTAGTTTAAGAAGTGATTAATAGTTTGTACCTGATACTCTAGAAACAGAATTTAAG